AAGCAAATTGGTGGAACTTCCTGTTCCGTAATTAAATAGAATCGAGGAATAATAAATGATTACAAATAGATTATTGTAAGTACTATAACTTTTGTTATTTGTATTTGAATGACAAAATATAAGAAGAAACTGGACAACGACGTTTATATATGTTTACATAAAAAGTAAATAAAAGTAAAAAAAAAACATATCTCATATATATTTCTAAGAATTATATAAACTAATTTGCAAATTTAAATTTATTTATTTGAAGTATATAAGAGAGTTTTAGAATTTTAGCTAGCATTAAAATTAAAATCCGAATCATTTTTCATATTTAAACAAAGAAATAATTGTAAATTAAAAAAATGGACAAAAAAATTCTGCTTTCCTAAACTAATCGATTCTTTATACTGCAAAATGTTCATTGAATCATTCGAATCGGAAGCTTTGAAACGACTGGGCCTGTCTTTTCCAGAAACTAATCACCTCGTCATCAATACAAATTGAATGTTTTTAAATAATTCAAATCGGATGCTCTGTTTTCTCAATAGGAAACGATTGTTTTTTGAATGTTTCAAATCGGTTGATCTGTGCTCCCGAAAACGTGGACAGAAAATTATATCCACACACACACACGCACACAAACACATACATCCATTTTATTAAGGTATGTCAAGATATTCAGAAACCTCTGAAACGTTAAATATGCAAAAAGTTTCATTTTCAATTTTCGGAAAATTACTATAACTTGCGGTAAGTAAATAATAAATATATTTATTAACTATCGTTCATTAAGTTTTAATAACAAATAACTTAATTGAATAATAATTTTTATTAGAAGGATTGAACTAAACAACATTGCTGACAGCGAAACTTGTTCATATACGCCACCATGTATTCTGAGATACGAGTCTGCGCATGGCACATTTTTCTGAATTGAGATACGTGATTGTATTTTTCTCAATAAAAAACGTTCGGTTGATTTTTTTTTTACAAAACTTCACAGATCTATGCGTCTATATTTAGTGATTGATTTTCCGATTAAAACTCAAAATCGTCAAAAATCGAGTTACGAGGTTGCGTCAGAAAAGCATCGATATATATATATGATTTTCGAGTCGTAGGTTCAACAGGTAGACATATGTCTAAGCGACTTTTATATCAACCCGCCCTAATATATATTGGTTTTAAATGGTTTTAAAAAAAGCATTTTTTGCTGCGTAAAATACCAAAAACGATGATTTTTTGTAAAAAAACTTTTTTTTTATATTAATTCATACAAATATTATACGGCGTTAGAGAGACGTGCAAAATTTTCCAGACTTGAAACCAAAAAAAACTTCAAGCAATAATTTATAAGTTTTACATAGTTTTATTTACGTATGTCATGATTGAATAAATTTTATAATAAATGCAATTTTTGTGTGGGGGACCTCTGTGGGGAGATCCCAAGGGCTGAACCATGAGTAGATCGGCCGCCTTCCAAAGTTAGTGGGGGTCGGTCACATTTGGACACTATTGGGGCTTTCTAAATGAGCCAAAACAGGATTTTTAAAAAATTAACCCAATCTTTGGGTCAATGCACGAGACATTAGAATTCATTTTAGATATATGATTTCTTCGGCAAAGTATCTTATTTTGATCCCTATATATGGGGCGTACTTAATGAGGATATTTTCAATTTTTTGCTCCCAGGGGTTAAAATGCTTCCAAAATAATAAAAAAAGATAGTCCGCACGTCAAATTATATGAAATATATATTTCCTTTATAATTTTAGGTATCGTACTATATTTGCATATATGTCGCCACATTATGACGATTTTAATTAAAAAATTCATTCAAAATGAAAGATTAAAATTACATTTATTATTCTTTAGGGTGGTTCTTAATATGGATGTTATTGAATTTTTTGCCAGGGGTTCGAATGTTTCGATATTTAAGTTTATATATAATATAATATAATATATGAGATAATAATAATATTTAGATAATATAATATATAAGATTATAATTATAAGATTATTAATAATCTATATATATATATATATATATATAATTATATATATTAAATTTATAATTTTAGGTTTCGTACTACATACAGTCGGTCAAGTAAGAGCGTGGCCGGGTTAATTTATAAAAATAATTATTTTATGAAACTTTAATATTTATATATGCATTGTATACGTTAAAAGCAAGGATGCAATTTTGGTCAATATGTGTCCAGTCACCACCGGAGTCGACAATTGGCTGGCATCTCCAACGCCTGCTTTTTACTAATTTAACGGATTATTTTAGTCTGACGGCTCGTATTTTAATTTAACGGCTCGATGAGGGCAGTACGTGCTCATATAGAACTTTCATCAGTGAAAATGACATTTTCAAAATCTCTAACAATATTTTCATGTGCTCAAGCGGAAAAGTAGCACATGTTTTTCAGTCGTCAGAGGCTACCCCGTTGTGTTGCGTCATTTCAGATCATGAATACGAAGAAAGGTTCAGATAGTTTTGTAGATATTTCTAAACAATTTGCCATTAATTCTGCTCGTCCTTGCTGCAGTGTTAAAGCAGGATTCCGCAAATACCCATTCACTGTCCTTTTTTCTTCTTTTTTATTTGAATCACGTTCTGATAAATCATCGACTTTTTTAGCAACTTTATATAGGTGTATTGAATTCTGTACAAATGCCTTCAGCTTTCTCATATATTTAGCAGCAGCTAATTGCTACATTTGGGTACCTTTTAGGTGCATGCAAAAGGGCGCAGCCTCGTAGCGCAACGCGTAACTAGACACTCATGGCGTTTAACGTAATTTTTTCTCAAAAGATCAACTGCAACTAAACCTTTTTTGACAATGCATCAAGGACAAAGCTTCACTTTATTGGCTCACGAAAGAACTAGACCGAAATCTTTCATTAACTGTCGTTAAAGTCTGCCACACTCTTACTTGACCGACTGTATATGCATATATGTCGTCATATGACGATTTTTATTATCAAACTCATTCAAAATGATGGATTAAAATTACATCTATATCTCTTAAAGAAAATAAAAATCAAATATTTCACATATTAACTACAAAAAAACTATTTTAAAAAAGATTTAAACGTTTTAGATTTTTTTAATCGAACTTGTAAAAACTCAAAAACTCTTTGAAAAAAACGATTCAATGTTTTACATTGAAATTTCATCAAATTGATTTTTACATATATTTTTGCTCAGCTGTACCCAAAAGGGATATTTTATATTTAAAACATATAACAAGTTATAGTGTATATAGTTCAAATTTGCCCTAAAGTACAATGACCTGCATAAATTTATCGTTTTGGCAAAAAATCTAATTCGTTAATTTTATTTTCTCTCACTAATTGTAAAAAGTACGTGTGTTTGCCTTTTGTCGACGTTTTCTCAAAAACGACTGCACTACTTTTAAAAATTATAAATATAATATATAAAATCTAATAATAAATCGCATTGATTAGTTTCATAAAAAGATCGGTCGAAAAAACATTAAACTGATTTTGAAAATTATAGAAAGCGATATATCTTTGCGATTAATTGTATTGATTGAAACATCATAATGATAGTAAGGTTGATGGTGAAAGATATTTCTCTAAAATATTACAAGCCCACGTAGTGGATTGGTTATATAATTTACTTAAATTTGATAATTATTTGCTGATTCTTTTTAATTCTATATACACGTATATTTATACATTTCACATAAATATTGAAATATATAAATATTACTGCGGTAATAAGTATTAGTATCAATAGTAATAAAAATAATAATATATTATAATGATATAATATATTTATTATCATTTTGAAAAATAATTAACGTATACATTTTTAATCAATTTTAATTGTTAATTTTTAACGTATACATTTTTATAAATAAAAATTAAAAATTGATTAAAAATGTATATTTTATTTATTTATCTATTTATTTATTCATAAGCAAGCCGTAATCAATAATAATAGATATTATTTCAGGCTCTTGTCAAGATATATACTATATGTTGATTAATTTCCAAAATGATATGTATCATATATAGATAGACAAAGTAAACATTTAAATAACTTACCTTTTTGTACTCGTATATTGAGATGCTCATTACCTCGTTTGCATAAACTCAGGATTAGTAAATTTTGCTGCGAGGCTGCGATTAATACTATTTTAAAAAATAAAAATTAATCAAAAAGCAGTATAAATATAATAAATCTAAGTAAACTTACCTTAACGCAAATAGCCTCTTTCAAGAAGTTGAAATTATTTTCAATAGTTTTTGGTATTCAGGGACAAAACAACCCCCTTGTGTATGAAATACAATCTAATTCAGTTGTCATCATTAAAAGGATGCATTCTGAAACATGAAATGAAAATTAATAGTGCTCATTTTAAAACAGTGGAGAATAATAATTTAATAATAACATTGAAATGTGCTATTTATTAAAATACTTTTTTTTTAGAATGTAGATTACATAATTTGTATAATTTGTTCATCTGATCGAAATGTCTAATAAAATTTTATATTCTGTGAAATCTCCTAAAATGATGATTTACTTTAAAAAGTATATCACCATAGTGAATACGAGTTATAAAAAAAGTTTAACTTGGTCTTGATTCAATTTTATACTGGTTTGTCTAATATTATCTTTATCAGCAGGTAGTCCGTAAAAGAATAGTTGTACACTGAATCCTATTTTTTGAATTTAAAATTCAACAAGATTCGAAGAAGTTATTAAATCGTTATAAATAAACTTTAATTATTATTGACAATTTATAGTTTACTAATTCAAGTCTATGATCAAAAGCAAAAAAAAAAACAAATGTAAACAATTATGCTAAAAGGAATATTTTCATATTGAACATATTTTAACCAACCAATACATGTACGAAATTTTTCATGATTTCAAGTATTTTATATTATTTGTCATTTAGTCATGGAGGGAGATCTACGTATCAGTTTTGTATAATGATATAAATTACTTGCTAACTATTCGAGTACATCATAATTGCCTGTGAATATTTAGCAAAGCATTTACAAAGTGACCATGCTCAAGGTGGGTGAATAGTGAAATAAACGAACATTTGAATTCGCGTTTTATTATCAACATCAAATATTGTGTGTGACTATTAATTTAACTAACATAAGAGTGAATAAAGGCAGAAAAGCGTTGAAATTAACCTAAATTATATTTTAAATTGCATCAAATGAACCTTATTTTTGCCAACTTTATTAACTTCCTGTTATAGTAATCGCAAAAAAATCGAAAACAAAATTTTTTATATATCTTTACGTTTCAAAACCTTCTGAACATTTTGGCATACCTTAAAAAAATAGATGTATGTGTTGTATGTGTGTGTGTACGGATACAAATTTTTGTCGACGATTTCAACAAAAAAGTGCCAAAAACGATAACTTTAAGGTAACCAGATTTCAATAATGTGATCTATTTTGTATACGGCGACGCGGCGCTTACGCGCTTCGATATTTCGTCTTTATGCAGCTAAAGCAGTGCGATTGCTTTGGAAAAAAGTTCAAAATTTCCAAAATATTTCAAAATAAAAAAAGAATTCAAAAAAGTCAACTTTTTCAAAGATTGAAGAAAAATTTAATCTTATAAAAAAGAATACTTTTGGTACGGAATGTTCCAGCAATTTGCCTTAAGATGCCATACACCACTAGTTTAATTTTATATTAAATTGACCATATTGGCTACGTAAATATTTAAATATCTGTTTTACCAAAACTGTAATCAATAAAAAACCATAATCAATAAAAATTGATCAATGATTTACAACAACAAAGTTTACATTAGCAGGAAGTGAATGAATGAATCCATCTGGGGATATATTTCTTACGATTAGAATAACGCATTTGAAATATTTACATTTTGAAACTGAATTGCAAATTTAAAATTCATAATTGAAGTATAAAACTTTGTATATTTTTGAAAATTTTGAAATTATTTTTTTCGGAAAATTTTCAAATTTGCTTGAACCGTATAAGTAAACCTTAAAAACTAAAGTCTTGGTACAGAAACCACCAAAATTGTAAAAAAAAATTAATACTTATTTTTAAAAACTTCATGAAATATCTGATATTTTGATGTGCATACGTCTAATGTTCATTTTTGACCACCAATTATCTTTTTTTTTTACTTTTTCCTTTTTTACTGAATTACCGTTGTTGGCACTTTTTGCCCCATATCTCCGAAACGGCTAGACCTGTCTTCACCAAAAACTAATTAGGACGTCTTCATATCAATAGGGATCCAATGTTTTTTGAAGCATTCATATTGGTTGATTTGTGTCCAAACATACATACATACTACACACACACGTACATTCATTTTTTCTGGGGTATGCCAAAATGTTCAGAAACCGTTGAAACGTAAAGATATGCAAAAATTTTCATTTTCGATTTTTCGCAATTACTATAACTTACCTACGGGAAGTCCTATTTTCATGTGAGGTCTTTCGACACTTGCCTTGCCGTGCAGCATGCATTCTTAGTTAAAATACTTCCCAAGTACCATATTCCGCTTGTTTCACCTCCTAGATTTCACTTATATAATAATAAAATTATTATAATAATAAAAGAAAAAAATATATAATAATAAAATTGCACTTACCTTTGAATATTTTTTAAGTTCAATTTTAGCTGTTGAAATACAAATTTTAACTCACAGAAAATATTTTTCAGTTTCTAGCTTTTATCGTACTCATTGCTGTAGCAGTTGATGCATTTCCATCAGAGATATCAAAACCGATAGAAGCAGATGCGCTACAAACATCCGAAAATAATAAGAATATAGCAATCATTCAAAACCGCAATGATTTAGAAACAGCGGAATCGGCTCGCAGGTTTTTTGGATATCGTCCATATCATAGGGGATATCACTTTTATCATGGATATCCCTCATACCACGGGTATCACGGTTTTTATGGATATCCATACCATGGATACCATTACTACCACGGGTACCCTGGATGCTTTCACTGTTTTCATGGCTAAGAGTAAACTATTTATTAATCTATTTTGATAAACTTTAATTAAACAAAGAAAATTTAAGAGTAATCTAATATTCATAAATAAAAGGCACACAAATATATTTCGATCATTGCTAATTTGCTAATAAGCGAAAATAATTATTATTGCATATTAGCAATTAAATTCTGCAGATTTTCATTTTATGCTAAAATTTTGCATTACTAGTCACTCAATTTTATTCACGTATTATTAAATGAAAAACTCGCTCAACACTTCTTTGGTTTCAAATAGTTTAGTACTATATACTTTCTCCAATCTTTTTAAAAAATCAGTTATTTTAATCAAAAAAGTAAATACTCTTAGCTACATGTGTCTCCCAAGATAGAACACAGAACATGGCACTATATAAAAACAAGTATGAAACAAAATTGTGTCACAAATGAATTGTTAATAAAGTTGTTTATGAAAGTATATAGAAAACATGCTTTGTAAATAGAAGATTTACAAAAGTTGATATTGTAATTATAGTTCAGATATAATCAGTGTAGTTTGACGTAATTAGTAAATTGTACAAAAATGATTTAACATCTGAAATTAGAATAAAAAAACCATATTTATTTAAATCAATCTTTATTTTAATTTTTTCAGATTCAAAAAAATATGAAATAAGTTTCTTGTTTTAAATAAATTAGGATAACCATCTATAGATAACTATTTCAATCAATCACAGCTTAAAACCTTAGGTAATGTAAAAAATAATATCCTAAAAAAAACATTCCTCAAAAAGAGACCAGGGAATGCATTTTTGTTCACTTAGAATTAATTTCCGCATTTTTTAATGCCAGAGTCATATTCTAAGTCAAATTATTTCCTAATGCAAATATCATTGCACTCGAAGCTGATTTGAGAAAATGAATACTTATAAAAATTTAATGTAAATTTAATTTATCTAAAGATCAGCATCGTCAATATGATGATTCAAATCTTTTGTGGTTTCCACCTCCATTTCTATCAGCATTACGTTTGAATCCACCATAGTTGTTTCCACCACCATAACGACCTCTGCCTCCATAACCTCCATATCCACCATTACCACCTCCTCTAGAAGCCATTTCATTCAATTTTGGATGCACAACCTGAAATTTTGTATTCATAAGATCCACTCAAAAAGAAATATATAACTAATGTAATATTAACAATGTGGGAGACATTGAGGATGGGATTCAGACAAAAATCGTGTGAACACCGAAGGCATAGCCTCCCCTTTTATTCTACCCCCTCACAGCATTCATGTTCTACTAATTTATGAAGTAGCCAACATGCCAAAATAAGGGGGCTTTATTTGAAATATTGAATTAATTACCTGATTGGCTTCTTTTAAAACAGACACTAAATCTTTTGCTTGTCTGCTATTTTGAGGTGTGAAGAATGCATAAGATGTTCCAGTGGTATCGGAACGACCAGTTCTTCCAATTCGATGAATATAGTCTTCAGAGGAGTTTGGGTAATCAAAGTTGATAACATATTTGATTCCATCAACATCTGTATAAATTATATAGTTAGTGTGATAACTAACAAGTTGAGCATTGTTAATTAAGTTCTTGGAATAATTAAGTTACAAATTGACTTGTAACAAAAATAATTATACAAACCATAGCCAGCAGTTCAAAGTCCACGTTTGGTGAGAATATCAATGATAAAAATCAAAAGATACAGCTCGACACTTCAAAATAAATTTGTACGAAATTTGTTTTCACAAATTCTGCACACAGCTCGAATAATCAGGCCGAAAAGCAGAAGTCCAATATGTAAAAAAGATACATATATGCACACACATTGTGTGCCGAATCTTCCATTTTTCGTCCCAACAACGGGCCAGAGGCACCGCAAGAATTCAGTATGTGCGTGAGATTTTATATATCCATTCCAATCACGGAATATCACATGTATTACACACATTTATCTCGCATGTGCCTCTGAAAAAAATTAATAGCAAAACAAGACTTTAGTATGTGAACTGTTGGATTATGTATTAGCAATTATTCCTAAGAACTATTGAAATGATCTCTCTTGAAATCAAATTATGCAAAAGGTAATTTAATTTTACTATACTTACCAAGTCCACGAGCAGCTACATCAGTTGCAACTAAAATTGAACTTTTTCCACTTCTGAATTCTCTTAATACATAATCTCTCTCTTGCTGTGACTTGTCACCATGCATACAGACTGCAGGCCATCCATATCTACGAATATTGCGTGTAATATTTTCAACTTTCTTTTTGGTTTCTACAAAAATTATAGTTTTTGCTCCCTCTTCTTGCGTGTTACCAATTTCTTGTAATAAGTTGCTCAATCTAAAAGTAAGTTCTTCATTAGTTCACTAATAATGAATAATTACATAAAAATTATACAAAACGCATCAGTTCTTCTTAGAGGACAATTATTCATCAAGGCATTATGTTTAAAAAATAGTATGCATCATTTGTTAAAGAGTACTGTTATGGAGTACATAATATTACATTACTTACTTTGTTTCCTTTTCATGTTCTTGACAAACATCTACAATTTGTAGAATATTGTGATTGGCCGACAGCTGTAAAGATCCTATATTAATTTGTACATAATCACCAAGATAATCTTCCGCTAGTTTTCTCACTTCTTTTGGCCAAGTAGCTGACCACATGCAAGTCTGTCTGTCAGGACGGATTTGTTCAATGATTTTGCGAATTTGAGGTTCAAAACCCATATCAAGCATACGATCAGCTTCATCAAGAACGAGATAAGTGCAGCGTTTTAGATTGGTACGCCCACTTTCAAGAAAATCAATAAGTCTTCCTGGAGTAGCAATAACAATTTCAACACCTCGTTCCAAATCTCTTGCTTGACTGCCTTTAGGTGCACCTCCAAAGACACAGGTGTTACGCACGTAGGAAAGACTTCCAAATTCTGTGGCTACTTGTTGAATTTGTTGTGCTAGTTCTCTGGTAGGAGCTAAGACTAAAGCAATAGGTCCATCTCCTCTGGATATGGAAGGTTGATATTTATGTGTACTATAGCAGGTAGTATGTAACCTAAGGTTTTGCCAGAACCTGTAAACGTTAAAGTAAAATTTAAACTAAGCATCGAACACACATACAGAAAGTTAATAAAAAATTAATTATTACCTGTTTGAGCAATGCCAACCATATTTTTTCCACTCATTGCAATAGGCCATCCTTGTGCTTGAATAGCTGTGGGTTCTGTGTATCCTTGTTTTTTTATTCCTTGCATCACATAATCAGGAAAGTTGGCTTCTTCAAAGTACTGGATTGGATTAGGAGCATCTCCATGAACTGTGATTTCTTTAGCATTGCGGTACTCTTCAACTTCGCGATAAGAGCGGTTGGCGACATTCGGATGAGGGCAATAGAAGTCCTTCTTGAAAGGTTTCAAAAATTCGGAACTCCAATTAGGTTTAGATTTTTGAGCCACCGAAACTATCTTTCGAACCGCGACTAAATCCTCCATTCCGATTTCCGTAACCATTACTGGAGCTATTGCCGTATCCACCACTACGATTGCCTCGACTCGAGTTAAATCCATTAGAGCGATTGCCGTAGCTGCTGCTTTTTCCACCATAACCGTTCTCGTTTCCGTAAGTCCTAACACAATTAATCAATAAATGATTAAACGTAATGGCGGATCCATGCAATGCATGGATGTTTGAGTTTCGCCATTAATACATATATTATATAAAACGGTATAACTATATTTACACATTTAAAAGAATTCGAAAATTAATAATGAATCTGATTAACAAAACAACAAATGAACGAAGACTAAAAGAATTAATGACACACGTGCCAGTATTTCAACGCTGCTAAAAATGGCGGACAGACGCCATGATAAAAATGTACATTTGAGATATATTTTTTTTCACATAAAATGATTTTGGGAAAAAAAATAAGTACACGAATTAACTAAAACAGTGATTTCATTCCACTTACATGTCAAATTGTTGAAGATGCCTGATCGATGTAGAAATAAAAGTAGATGGTTGAGTTATTGATTTTCCAATTAGCCGCACTTGTCTGAAATCAAGCCGAAGTTTTGTTAAACTTTTGATTACCGCAAACATTTTCACTAATTTGATAACATTAAAAGTAATTACACGATAAAACAAAACTTCCTATATAAAATATGTTACAATATAAAGCACAACGTGCAACGTCGGCATATTACACAAGAAAGAACTTGAACTTACCAAAGCCACGGCTTGAATTAAAAGAAAGAACTTCTCAAACATCCGACTCGATATTTATATAAGTGTTATCCGATAGGACTTCTAGTTCTGTTACAAACTTCACTTGTATCTGTAGCTTCTCAAAATTTATATATTTTTTATTTTATTTTACTTTAGTTATTTGAAAATCATTTATGTCCTGAATAACTAATTAATAATGATAATTAATAATATGTGATATTCACACATTCTCAAAACCGTATTATCAAATCTGTTA